CGCCGCTGCAGCGCGCCGCCGCCGCCCGCCGCACCCCGCCGCCCCGCGAGCCGCCGCCCCGCCGCCCAAGCCCTCGCCGGAGCAGCCTCGCCGGAGGTAGCCGCCGGTTCCAACCGCCGGTTTTTTTTCTAAAAAAAACCGTTCGGTTTTATTATTTTTTTCAAAACCCTAGTTTTGGTTTTTTTAGATCGGTTTTTTTCGGTTTATTTATTTAGCGAGTGTTCGCTCGTTCGTTCCTTTTAGCGAACGCGTTCTTCGATTAGATCCAGATAACGAACGTTTGTTCGTTAATCTGTTCGTCGTTTTTCTTTTTCTCGGATTTATTCCGCGATTTTTCTGATTGCGATTTTTGATCCGATCCTAATTTCTATTTATCTTTTCGCTCGTTTATCAGAATCAGGCGATTCAAGCACCTGGAGTTTCGTCTCGAAACCCTCTTTCCGGTTAACCAACTCAAACAAGTTTTTGTTACTGTAAAATTTGACTTAAGTTCAGATTAGTAAACAAAGTGATTTTCTTTCGCCTTTTGACTTTCATTGCTTCGTTTGATTTGATTCTTTTGCGTACCAGAGTTCTAAAGTTGAACTTTCTGGCAACCTCTCTTATTGAGTTTTGCTTGTGCATCGTTGCTTGTTACTTATGTATGTTATTGTTTGCTTGCGACAGAATTCCCGGAGTGCGAAGCGTGTTACTACGAGTCTCTAGGATTCGCGGATCGTCAGCAAGGCAAGTAACACTTTGATCATATCCCATTATTACCCAGTTTTTATGCATTAGTTCCAATCCTCAAATATTGCATGATTAGGATGTCATTAATTTGTGGGTTGGGAAGTAGTTGCTGAGGTAGAACCTATTGCCCTGTTATATTCAAACCCTTGGGAGTTACTTCTACGTATTGCTTATATTGCTATGCTATGCTCGTAGAGGTGGTTTTGGTTTGAGTGAAATTCATGACAGATGTGAGATTGTTAATTAATGGTTCAACTTAAGATGGCAACTTAATCAAACAACTGGGTGGATTGAGGCACCTGGGGAACCCAGTGTTGTCTGTATTTTTTTTTGGAAATCCTGGGGTACCCGTGTGATCTTCCTATGGACCGCCACCCTGGCTCAAAGGGAACTGAGATGATTCATGCTAGAAACTTCCGTGTGCAGTCACAAGCTATTATGGGCTCTAGCATAGTTGAGTAAGTTATGTGAAGCTATTGAAGAGGTAGATCAGCAGGTAGTGGGTTTTGTAGGTTTGGTATGGTCTACCCGGAGTAGAGAATTAACGTTTCTGAAAGACTGTGTCTCAGTGATCCATTTCTCAAACACCATGTAGTGCGAGAAATCCAATGGAGGCGATCGAATCTTGTGGGGAAAAGTGCACAAACCTCTGCAGAGTGTACAATCTAATCATGCTTAGCCGTGTCCCCGGTTATGGACAATTCTTGAGTATGTAGTACTTGGGTTATCACATGTATCTCACCATGTTTAATTGATACTATTGGGTTGTTAATCACTTAATTGGGATTGAGTTGGGGGTACCTTCTCAATGATGTTTCAACCACCATGATAATTAAATAAAAAATCTATTCCTTTGTTGTAGGGAAAAATTGGCTTTTCGCAAAAACTATAACCATAGAGCTTTCCACCAGCCATATATGCATGTAGTGATAGCATTATTCTGTTTCTGCTCCACTGTGTTATATTGCCAGCATATTCCATGTGCTGACCCGTTTTCGGGCTGCAACGTATTATGTTATAGACTTTTCAGACGAGGAGTAAGGTATGTTAGGTCATTGCCGTGCAGCTCAGCTATGCCGTTGGAGTTCATGGACTCACCTTATCTTCCAAGCCTTCCGCTGTTATCGCATTAGATGGCCTTAAGCCGTATTATTGTAATAAGTTCTCTTTGGAGACATTCGATGTAATAGTGTGTGATTGCTACTCTGTTATACATCCTTTGAGTACTGTGTGTGTCAGCATTACCGATCCAGGGATGACACTAAAGCACAGAGACTTGACCATCTAAGGTCGGGTCGCTACAAGATGGTATCAGAGCACACGCTGAGTGTAGGACACAACCCCTATGATAAACCCTAGGTCACACTTCTCTTCTCATTTCTGACTCCTCTCCATTTTCTACTCTTTAGGATGACGGAGATGAAGAACAAGTTTGGACAACCGGATGAAGACACACCTTTTGGACGCCACTTGAAGGAAGTCACTAAGTACTTAAACATTGGAATACCAAGCTTCACCGGGGCGTACAACGCCACTTTACCTAAAGAGGGGCGCTGAATGATTCAAGTACAAGTTCCAGGAAGGACGTTCTCGCCAACCTCTAAACCCATAGAATTTTCCTTCGACGCGCCAACCTGGAGTTTAGGAAAGAGTATGGCAGCTCACATCACCATGGGACGCATTGGAGAAGTTTACAACAGGG